TTTCAATTATCCTCAGAGCTTTTCGTTTATATGCCATTCCCTAGGAAAAACCATTTATGTTTCCGTATCATATCCTCAACGAGTCCGATTCAGACTCTTCATCAATGGGCTGCTTTTTTAGAGGAAATGACTAAATTCTGAAAAAAGCATGTAGCCATGTGGTTTCATAAGCCTATCATGACCATGACCAGTTTTAGACTATTTTTGAATCAAAATCAAAATAACTTAGGTTTATATTCTGCTGTGTTTATTCAGATTTTCTCAGGAATATTGCCATTTTCTTAAGAGGATCTTTGCACGGTAATACTAGATTTATTGCAGAATGTTTTCCCATACTTTGGCAAAAACCTTGCAGACTTTTTTAAAGAGATTAGAAACAAGTGAAAGCATAGAGTATTAATGTTCCAACCTCCAGTATACATCTTGATCAGTTAATCTGGCTAAGTTGTTTCACATATACTGACCTTATCTTACTAGTTTACGCATAAATAAAACTAGGAGCAGCTTTTATCCAAAAATGCAATCCATATTAGACACATTTAATAAATATAAAAATTATTGAAATGATGGATTTATAATCAAAACAGTGGTTTGCACACTTTTGGGATACTTAGCTTCCATCTGAATATTGAAAAAATGTCACTCCATATCCAAACCAAATAGGGCACTTAGGGATCTTTAGAATTCTTCATCATGTTACTGGCAGTAGATTTCAGTTTTCAGGGAATCTATACTTATTACTATGTTGAATGATTCTAAAGAGCTCCAAAGACTCCATAGTCTTATCTCTGAAAAAATAGCTTTATGCCTAACAATATTATGAGTAGTCTTAAAAACCTTCAAGTCCCCCATCGTAAAAATGTACGCTAGTATTGCTGTTGTGAGTAATGCTGAATCAACAGCTTCATCGAAAGCCATGAAATTGGCATACGCCCATATGTCCCGATAGTGGCATTCTATCGCTGGTTTTATTGTGATCTGTTTTTTGGGGTCTGTTACGACATTTCTGCCTTTTACTTTCTAGAGAAGAGTCACTGAAACAGTGGGCATTTCTTCTTTAAGCTGTTCTTTGTCAATCGTGAAATGTATTCCTCGATTTCAATACATTAGGTTATGCTGTGTCTCTCCTGTATTGTGGTGAGATCATCTTTGTGTAGAGTCCCGAAATCACCGTTTGTGGGAAAAGTGGACGATCTGTTTTTTTAAAATTCATTTTAAATTGTAAATGCCCATAGGATCGTAATTTAATAGCATTTTAAAATTTTCGTAGGGAAAATTATCAAAAAAAATTGTTTTTATCATGCAAATACTAGAGTCACTTTTTTCCAGTGTGAGAAGTTCTGAACTCTTGTAGGGGACCTGTAATTATCCAGAAAACTGATAGTTTGTGAAAACCTGTGTAACAACGCAACTTCAGCACACTGGCACTAGTCAAAACACGATTCAATCACAACCTTTGTTATTAGATGATCTCTTCTGGAAAGGAGAATGATTCCGGAGACAATATGTTGTTTTAGGTGTAAGTGCGGGTTTATCAGACGGAGAGTAACAGTTTCATTCAGTGATTTATCTCTCTATTTGACTATCATTGTGATGCTTGTTAGATTCAGCTGTAATAGCTAATCGAATCGGCTCACTAGGAACCATATTAGATCTTGTCTAAAACCTTTTAAATTGCTAGAGAATTCTCTCTGTGATTTCGGCAAGGATTCTATAAAAGATATTGACCGAATTCTGAGGAAATCCCGCATTCATCATTTACAAAGAAATCTGGGCAACAACCCGAAGAAATCCTGAAAACAGTAGTTATCAGGAACTGAGACTAAGTCTGGAAGAAAATTTGGCAAGATCCTTGAAATTCAGGATTTCTGAAAGGTTGAACATGAATGAGACTAGGATTACTTCTATATTTGTCAAGGTTGTCAGCTGGTGAGCAGCAAGTCTTATGACAATGCTAGGAGATATGATCGTCGATTTCAGCAAGAGAAACAGGTTTTCACAAACTATCAGTTTTCTGGATAATTACAGGTCCCCTACAAGAGTTCAGAACTTCTCACACTGGAAAAAAGTGACTCTAGTATTTGCATGATAAAAACAATTTTTTTTGATAATTTTCCCTACGAAAATTTTAAAATGNATCTATCGAATCATGTAAAAATGTCTAAGAAAAACGTTTTATTTCGTTTTGGAATTACTGGCACCTTACTTTTCTACATCAAAAAAGGTGTCAAATTTCTGAAAATCTCGGAAGTTTTACATTAATAGGTCTTCATAACCTTTACCATTTAGTGTCAATAAATGCAGTTTTTTACGGGCTTTAATTTGGTATAAAATACTTAATGAAATCATTTGACCTTGAGATCGAACCAGGGGGGCGCAAAGGTTTTGAACCACCCTGTAGAAAAAAGAAACAGGACTAGTTATTTGTCTCTTTGACTGGTACAGAGAGAAATCTTCCTTCATTCTTTAATCTTGACAAGCCCATCTGTCGAACTACCACTTATTGACCATCTAGGGTTCATACGGACTCCACCTTCATTAAGTAAAAACAATATACAACATTCCCATCTTTTGTAAAGGAACTATAATGGTTCTTGAGTAGACAGGCAACTCTTTTGAAAGTATAACACAATTACATCGACTTTCTGCAAATTCAATAAAACTTTCAGATGTTGTAGGAGTCGTATTTGTAAGCATAAGAAAAGATTGAAAAAGTTTTAAAAGCTTTGCGCAGAAACCTAAATATGGTGCACAATTTTGATTTTTCCAGTGAAAATTCAGTTTTAGGAATTTCTCCACTTTCAGTGATAAGAAGGTGAGGTTTTTAGAGGATATATTGTTCAATGAGATGATCACTTTATTTAGCGGAAATCTTTTGTCAGATGTTTTCTTCGCATTAAAAAGTTTTTCACAAAAAATAGATATTTCGGATTTTTGGTAGTTAAATGTCTCCAACAAGGTACAAGATTTGATGAATGATTCCTTTTATGCATCAGAGTCGCCTCTGACCATACTTTTCAGTGATCAGACTTGAAGAAGTTTGAAACCAAATCTGCCCACTAAGATGAGGCATTTGGAGAAGGATTCCCACTTTTTCCGAAATTTTGAAGTTGTTTGATGAGATAATTCAGGATTAATGTGAGGAACACAGTATATATTTGTGATCTACTCAGACCGAGCTAACAAAAAATGAAGTTTCAACATTAGCCCGACACTATTAGGAGTGATGGATTTGCAATGGTATTTTCACAGGAATCTTCCACAATTTCTCAACTCATTGGCAATTGAAGTAAAAAAGTTTTTGTTATAGCCTACTACAACGAAATCTCAAATATAAGAGTATTTCATGGAGATAGTGCTTAATTGTCCAATCGAAAGACCTTAAATTTTCTGAAAAAGTGAAAATCCTCCTTCAAATATCTTATCTTAGCGGTCAGTTTTAGTTTTTTATCTTTCCAAATCTTATCACGGAAAAGTACATTCAAAGGCGCTTCTAACGTATAAAAAAATCATCCTTTAAATCTTTACCTTATTGGAGAACTTTAGCTTTGAAAAACTTGAAAAAGCTGATTTTTGTGGGTAGCTTTTCGGTAGGAAGAAAATGCCAGATAAAAAAGTGTTCGCTAGATGATATAATCATCTCATTGAATAGTTTCTATATTGAAAGCTACAGCTTTCTTTCATTTAAAATAGAGAAATTCCAGGAGTCAAATTTTGACTGGAAGATCTAGAACTGTTCTCCATATTCTGACCCCTGCGCCAGGTTTTTTAAAATTTCTAAAGCTTTATTTATGCTCATAAGTACAAGCTCTGCAAACTCTAAAAATTTTAATCGATTCGTATGAAGTCAATGTGAAATCTGTTACACTCTCGGAAGAGTTATCCAGATTCGGGTGTAAGACGAATAAACAGAGCAACAGTTATTTTCAATGCTATTTATCAAATCTTTCATTGCTTGCTTTTTTTGTCTTCGATTATCTAAATATTTAAGATTGTCTACTGAATAAAAAACATTACGCGCACTCTAATAAAATTTCCCATTTTGATGATGATTGTCATCAAGCAAAGCAACGCATTGAGGATGAAATTTAGCTAATTACGTTGCACTCTGCTGAAACCTTCCTGTCGACCACGAAAGAGTCTTACCAGAAGGTTTCGCGCGTTTCAATATGACTTTTCCCTCATTAAAACTAATACTTTATTCAAATACAGTGCACTTGAAAACTTACTGTTCCTGAAGTAACACTATCTTTTTACAGCCTCGGCTTAGTTGATTTTTGTTACCGGCGTACTGTACTAGTAATCCGTTAAGTATAGCTGAAAAAAGAAGACTTTATGTAAAGCTACTATGAAGAGTCAATAAAAAGAATGCCATGGGAGTCACAAGAAATCCCAGAAGAACGTGTCAGAGTTAATTTATGTTTGTTATTTAAATAATATAGATTTCATTTTTATTTATTCATATGTGTTTTTTTATACAGTAAAGATTAACTCGCAATACTGACTGAGATAAGTCCAGATAATCAATACGATTTATTTTTCCAATGGGTGCTCATCATTACATTTTATATTCAGATTGAAAAATAAATCTTAATCTAGATAAGTAACTTGACTCAGAACTGCGTTGCGACAGTTTAGGGTCGTATCTCATAGTCCTACATGAGAGCTGTTTACGTTCAAATTACACTTCATTTGCTTTGTAACGTATTATTTGTATGCATTTATTGTAGTCTACCACCATATGCCATAGAAAATAATAAACTCTTTGACTCTTGCATCCAAGAAGGATCTATCGAAAGTTGTAGTGAGAGAAAAGTTTCTTATTCTGTTTTTTTTACAGTGTAGCCTTTCCAGAAGAGATCGTCCTTTACCCTTATTGACCGTGAAGACAGCGGACCGGTTGCATATCTAATTTATACCATGGATTTTAAGTTAAACAGTCACTATAGAGAAACACATGGATCATCGAACCAGATATAAAATAGTGTTCTCAAGATAATATGTTATTGAACAAGGTTCAGTTCGTCCATTCAACAGAAAATAATCTAATAAATGAATCGAAGAATTTCCATAATNTATTTTTTTCGGAAATTACAATGGAAGTTTTGCAGCATTAATAACATATTCAACTGAAAAAGGTTCACGTCCAGTATCAGTTGCCATAGGTGATTTGAACAGCGATCAAGTGCTGGATATCGTAGTTGCAAATTTTGGCAGTAACAATGTTGGTATATTTGAAGGATATGGAAATGGAACTTTGAAAGACCAAAAAACACATTCAGTAGGGTATGGTGGTCATCCGAATAAGGTCACTTTTGGAAATTTTACTAATGGTGATTGGATGGATATTGCTGTTGTAAGCTATGATACGGATACTGTATTACTTCTTTCAAAGATTTGTTAACTTTATGATCTTTAATTTGTTTGACTTTCTAATATTTCTAATATTCTTCTATATTTCCTATTCAGAAAAAAAAACATAATACAGACCTTATCGAAATCAAGCGCTAAAAGCATTGAGACAACCACTTTGAGCAGCATTCTGTCTATGCTGATTACTGCTTTCGTATTCTTAAAGATGCAACAAGAGCCACTTCCATACCATTTGTTTTGCAATCATTTTCATTGATTAATAAAAAACACCTAACAATTTTCGGAGGTCGAAACTTTATATAAACCAGATCCATTAATTTAATTTGTTCTACAAATATCGCACAAGTTTTCAGTGTCAAATCTACAATATGTCCTAGTTACTGAAAGGCAACTTTAACTATTAACATACAATAGACAATCAATCATAAACATAGTATTCCAATAAGTAAAAAGATAGATATCAGTCGTTATCAAACTTTTTTTCTGATGATAGGTACTACTGTGAAATTGTTATTGTTACTGGCGAACTTCACAATTACTGTTCGAAAACTATCAACTTCGAGCGAAATACAACAAGCAGTCGTTTTTTCATTACTGAAAAAATCGTTATACAGTGTTTCCATTTTGGCTCTCCAATATTTTGTTCTTCTTCTAATCAACCAGATCTTGGAATATTATGAATATGCATCTGTGCTCGTACATCATTATACGAAGCTCTTGAAATCGCATGACGGCTGCGAATGATAACTGGTAAATGGATATCAAAGGCATATAAATGACAGATCAGGATCTGATCGATCTAAATACCAGAAAAAAAACAAAAAATATTAAAGCATTAAAACAAAAATGCTCTATAATGATAGAAAACGACTGCTTGTTTTATTTCATTTGAAATTAATAAGTTTGTCAGTAACAATAAAAACTTCAGAGTAGTACCTATCATCAGACAAAATATGAGTTGATTAAGTTTGATAAATAATAACGTTATTCAAATTTATTTTCACAACAGACTGTCATGAAATACCTTAATACTCGAGTTAATGGTACTGCTGATGGATTCATTTTTTTTTCTAAGAGTTATTGAAGGGTGGGGTGTGGGTGTGCGTATGGATTTACGGGTGTGAGTGTGCCGAAGAAAGTACCCACTCGCACGCGACATCCACCCATAGCCACACCTCAAACTCACACTAGCAATCTTGTCCGAAATGATAGCCACATCCGTCAAGAGTCCTGACAAGAAAACAATACGATCAATGACGATACGAAACTAAGAAATCTTGCCAAACTTTGATCAGGTTCCTGAACGGAACTGTTATTCAGGAACAGACATTTCGAATGCTTGAAAAAGATATAAGTATGTTCATGATCTTCATAAGAAAATACAAGGAACTATTTAGTTAGGATCTTTTCAGTTTTTTTTAGAAACTAGTCAAAATTCAATTTTCAGGATCCTGTCAGGAATCTAACAAGAATGAACAAAACAGTTTCCTGACCTTTTCAGCTGACTCAGTTTGGGATTATTTGGAGATTTTTAAATCTATAAAACATCACTGGATTTCAATGCCAATATTGAGCGAAGTCACAACAGAAATAAATAGAAGGATTTTTTAAGATATTATTGCATTTTGTTCCGAACACAAAAACTTCTGAGAATTGAGTAATCATCTATTGGCACTTTTACCTTAATCTTGATTCAATTTATTTCACAAAGAAATAGAACGAATCTTTAAAATCGTAAAAAAAATTTCTAATTCTCTTTGGAGTGTATATAAAAGCTGTTTTGAGATGGAGACTACAAGAATGAGTTCCTTTTTTAATTTTATCAGGAAAAGAAAATTTGATATCATTAAATTACGAAGGTGATAATTTGGATTTAATCATCGGAAAAGTTTTTTTCGTCAAATAGATAATTTTAGCCAGCAGCAAGTCTTTCAACAGAAAATAGTTATAGCTTTGAGTATGTTTGAAAAAAATTTACAATATATTTTCCAAATCGAACTGAAGTAAAAAAACAGTGCAATTTCATCGACTAAAATACACATCGAAAATAATATTGTTTTTTTTCAGAATTTTTTTGAAATAATTTGTATTCCCATAGAATTCAAACAGAAGTTTATACTAAAGTCAGAAATTACGATATCACAGGTTGAAACGATAATAGAATGGCGTGACACATCCAGCTCGGTAAGCTAATCTGTATGTATACTGAAGGTCTAGAGATCGATACTCTATGTGTGAATTTTTCTTATATTCTATTTAGAAAATCCTGCCAGGAAATCGATAATATCGTGAAGGAAACCTAGTCCAATCCTACAAAGATCCTGTCAAGAAATTTGATAATATCTTCGAGAAAACCTGATCAGATCCTGAAAGATGTGACCAGGAATCGTTCTTTTTTTAATTTGAGTTATTGAAATCCTGGAAGGATCAAGGAACTCCATGGCTACAGGTTTCTTTCATGATTTGGTTTTTTCCTCAGGAAAAAAGGTCGAATCCTTGCGGGATCCTGGTCATATATACTAAGGACCCAGCGCTGAAACAAAGATTTTCCCTAGAGCCGCACGAACACCGATGCTCACACCCTCAAGTTTGATCAACGTGCATAATTTCTGCAGTTGATGATGCAGATTTTTTTAGACATTTTTGATGGTCGAGATGACCAAGATGCTATTGAAATCGAATAAATAAATGCTTGTGGTATGAGAATTGTAAATTTATTTGAAACTTTCAAACAACAAATTAAACAGATAGAAATGAAAGCAAATTTATAGATATTTTTTATGTTATTTTTCTTTGGCTGACTAGGAACAATATAGAGATGATTCTATAGTCTAACGAGCTTTTTATCACACTGGATTTAAGCAGCATCATTCTCTTATTTTTTTCCTCGTGTTCCACAAACTCGTTGAAACTTAGATTATTCAAAAATAGGAAGAAAAAAAAGAAATTAATTAATTTTCACAGACATAGCCGGCGAGTACGTTTTCCTCTAACGTCATGAATATTGCAGTTGACGTCAGAATTTAATTCAGATGGAATCCACGAAAAAATTATGCTAGGAATAATTCATTATAAATAAACAAACCTAATTAATTTAAACACGACTTCCCAAAAAAATGTAATATTAAGACTAGGGTATTTCTTACGGTAGCTATCATAGAAAAATATGACAATTATTTTTAATTTATGTTCGATAAATTAAGAAAAGCAAAAAGATTTATACTTAAAATAAATATAAATTACTGATTACTTAATTTACGTGTAAATTAAATTAAAGGTAAGTTTAAACTGATACCCCAAGTTTAAGTATATATATATATCGCGATTTTTGTGATCAATATCGAAAAAATCTTCAAGTACGATTAAAGTATTTGTATAGAGTTCAACTTTTTGAATGAATAAAACGGTCTTATGTATTTCTGACTCGAATGCTTTCGTCGTATCATATGAGATTAATTAATCTAACGTCACATCCAACTTTCGATCGAATACATGTATGTGCATGAGTCAACTTCTTTTTTTCCTCTTCGACGATTGCAAAATCTTTGTCACTAGAATTATTATCCGATATGAGACAAAAGTTTATAGTTAGAAATATATACATTATGAAGTTGAATTGATGTTAAATGAAAGATTTTCGTTGTTCTCATTAATCACAAGTGAAAAAATAGATGAAAGTATTATTTACCTGTATACATTATTTTCACTACCAATCTGTTCATACGATATATGATGTGCATGAATGATTATTCACAAGAAAGATAGAGGACGATGCAGTAGTCACTCTTCACTTAAAATCCAAGTTTTCATCTGAATATAGATATACGATATTTTTCTTAGCAATTAGTCAATATAATAGTCACATGCAGCCACCTTGATTTTGATTTTTTTTCTTCATTATTCATGCTTGCAAATATATTTTTATCTGTCAAAACGTATTTTCATCCCTTATTAAACATTGATATTACTATCGATGGTAAGTATTTGACTTTCATTTCGAACAGTTCTTCTATGTAAGTGTATGTATTTCGAATTCAAAAACCATTTCTTCGTATTTCTCTCGCTATTTCTAGGAATCCACGACTTAGCGATGAGGCAAAGGCCTTTTGTCAATTAGCTGCATCAATTCAACTACTACCCAATAACTTAACGCCTGAATCATTGAGAACACTTATCGAAAATCTCGATGCTAAAGGTAATGAAAACTTTAATGAAACATTTACTGGCAATCTTCAAGAGAAACACGTGACGATCAACTCTGCTGGTAGATTTCAACATAATGATCCATGACATTTTTCTCTCAAAAAAAAATTAATATTCTAGATATACCAATTAGTATTTATATTCCAACTAATACCAACAAAGATAAACTTGTAGTTTACTTTCATGGTGGAGGTCAGATCATGACTGATGATTAATTTTTGATCAATTATTTTATTTGACAATAGGTTGGACTTCGGGTAGTCGAAGAACCCATCAAATCATCGTTAATCTTCTTGCAGAGTATAAAAATTCTTTTTCTTTCTATTCAATAGATATTATACTCATGATTTAGTGCAACAAAGACTATTTGGATATCAGTCGAATATCGTCTAGGTCCTGAATATAAATATCCGATTTGGTTAAATGATGCATGTGATGTAACTCGTTATATAATCGAAAATAAAGAATCTTATGGTCTTTGTTTTTAATTTATTTAGATCTTCTTTTGATCTCTCTATAATGATTGTGCATTTTAGGTGTTGATCGAACAGCTAAAGTTTGTGTGGCTGGTGATAGTTCTGGAGCTATGATTGGCACATCTGTTTATCAAATGGTGAAAAATATCGATTTTCAAGTATCAATATTAGTTCTATGTTCGAAAAGAGCTCATAATTATTTCGATACTAACTAATAGATTCTTGTTTATGGTTTATATGATTTCATTTTTGCAACACCATCTGTAAAAGAATTTTATCAGCCACAGTTTGGTGCAGTACCTGGATTGTTCGAGTGGTATGCATGGTCTATATTAGAGTTGGTCTTCATACG